CCGCAGCCCCCCGGGCCCCCCCGGCCCCAGCGCTGCCCCCCAGCCCGGGGGGGGCCAGGTACTGGGAGCACTGGGAGGGACTGGGAAGGGATACTGGGAGTACTGGGAATACTGGGAGGGACTGGGAAGGGAAACTGGGAGTACTGGGAATACTGGGAGCACTGGGAAGGGAAACTGGAAGGGACTGGGGGGAACTGGGAGAACTGGAAAGGGATACTGGGAGCATTGGGAATACTGAAAAGGGATACTGGGAGCACTGGAGGGGAACTGGGAAGGGCTGGGATGGATACTGGGAGCACTGGGGTCACTGGGAAGGGATACTGGGAGAACTGGAAAGGGATACTGGGAGCACTGGGAATACTGGAAAGGGATACTGGGAGCACTGGAGGGGAACTGGGGGGAACTGGAAAGCGATACTGGGAGAACTGGGGGGGGACTGGAGGGAATTGGAAAGGGATACTGGGAGCACTGGGGGGAACTGGGAAGGACTGGGATGGATACTGGGAGCACTGGGGGGACTGAGGGGAACTGGGAGGGACATGGGAGTACTGGGGGGAACTGGGAAGGGATACTGGGAGCACTGGGGGGAACTGGTCGTACTGGGGATACTGGGAGTGGCACATGGGATACTGGGAGCACTGGGGACACTGGGTTGGGTCTGTCCCTGTCATTGTCACTGTTATTGTCACTGTCACTGTCACTCTCGCTGTCCCTGTCGCTGTCGCTGTCGCTGTCCCTGTCGCTGTCGCTGTCATTGTCACTCTCAGGTGACAGGTGACGATCCGCAGCCCCGAGCGCTTTCCCTGAGCGATTCCAGCGGGAAAAGGGAATTGGGGCAGCGGGAGCTGCGGCCAGAGCCCAGCGCGGAGCCCGGGATAATTCACACGGGAAGGGGGGACAGAGCCAGCAAATGGGGCTGTTAATTAATCAATTAATAATCAATTAATGTCGTCCGGAACCAATGAGCGCTGACGCCTTCGCTCCTTAAAACGTCCCGATCGTGCCAAGCTTTGGTGATGGGGGAGCGGGAGCGACTTTGGGGGAACCCCCGGAGTTTGGGGAACCCCCGGAGTTTGGGGAACCCCCGGAGTTTGGGGAACTCACGGAGTTTGGGGAACCCTTGACCTTTGGGGGAACAAAAGAAAATTCGGGAAATCCCGATCGACACCGATCAATCAAGATCCTGGGGGCGCGTTCAGGTGGGATTGAACTCGGGGGGATCCCCTGGGGCTGGGGGCTCCTGCAGCAACTCCTCAAACAGCCCGGGCGGGCAGGGCCGGCAGCCAAAGCAGCCGAGCCGGGCAGGAACCGGGAGCGCTTTCCCTGCCAGCACCGCCCTTACTGGGAGCACTGGGAGCGAACTGGGAGCAAAGAGCGCCCGGAGGCGATGGGCGGGGCCAGAGCCAAGGGCGTGGTTATGCAAATAGAGAAGCAAACGCGCGCTGTGATTGGTGGGCGGGAGCAGCGCGGGCATTACCCGATCACGTGAGGGCCGGGGGGAGGGAACGGAGCAATGGCGGCGGCGGGACCGGGAATGGGGACAGGGAGCGGGAATGGGGACAGGGACCCGAAACTCGGAACCGGAATTTGGGAAAGGGAGAGGAATTTCAGGCCTGGGCCCCGTACCGTGAATGGGACCCGGAATACAAGACACGAAGTGGGAAATTGGCACCTGGAATGAGGACAGGGACATGGACTAAAAGACTGAGACTATGAAGGCAACCGGGAATAAAGGACAGGGACCAGGACCACAGGATGGAGACCAAGACTGGGAATGGGGCCGGGAGTGGGAATATGAGATCAGGCCAGGGAATGAGTGAGCAGCAAGCAGCCAGAGAATATGGGATGGGGATTAAGACGATGGGACTGGGATCAGAAAAGGGAATATGAAACAGAATTGGGAATACGAATATGAGAACGGAATAGGGAATACAGAAATGAAAATACGGGAATGGGAGTTGGACCAGGATAAAAGAATGGGAATAGGACAGGTAATATGGGACTGGGAATATGGGAACACAGCAGGGGAGAG